TGATACATGAACGTTATATTCATTTTTAATACTGAATACATAAGTTTCTTACCCGTAAACACACGGTGAGTAATATAAGGCGAGTACATATAAAAATGGGTAAGTTACGAAAGAACGAGAAATCTTCGACTAAGGTGAGTGATGTGAGCAAGCTCCGCCTGCCAAAATAACCGCTTTCTTAGATTTTGTCTCTAATAATACACAATGGGAAAGTTGGATGTAAAATCGAACAAATTCTCTATGAACAAGTACTATAAATAAAAAAATAAACCCTCGGATATCGACAATTTCCAAAAGCCAACCAGATTACCAATCCATTCTGGAAGTCAAACACGTGGAACCGAACAATTATCAAATGTATTTATTTATTTCCTTTTTGTACCTTATTATTTTATGCAGGCAGTGGAGCACTACTTCAGGTTTGATTGGTTTTCATCAATGCCTTTGAAGTAAATTCTTCTTTATTTTTTACTTGCGGGCAGCTCAAGAGGCAGTTGAGTAAACACCTGATAGCCAGACAAAGCATGGAAAAATCGTACATCACCAACATGATGTTGGATAGCCCGTTCTCGGCACTTCCTCAGATATTCTTGTTTCATTTTCTCACCCTTTTTCTCTTGCAAGCACGTAACACACCATCAGCGATAGTTGTAGGAGAAATCACATGCTACAAAATAATATGACAGACTAGTAAATGAAGGGACATCCATGGACTATCGGCGATTGCTGGCAGAGTTAGTCGTCACTGATTGGAAGCCAAATACTGAGCAGGTTGATAATTCTCTCATGGGCTACGGAAACAGAACTGACGTGTTTTAGATAGATAGGTTAATCGAACCGACTTTCCTACGAAAGTAGGGTGAAGCTAATATAACAGCTTAGGTTGATTGGTTAGGAAATGACCTCAAGTATGTGTCAAAACAATAGAGTTCAAGTATTTATTCACTTCCGTATTTTGTATAGGTATTGTATTTCCTATTATCCTAGATTGAATGTTGAGAAGCTTTGTTTGTCTGAACAGGTAACCCCACGCTTCATTGTGACTGCGCGAAGATTTAAATAAAGACCTATTCACTACTAGGGCACACTATGCGTGTTAGGTCACGGGTTTTCGCGCACATGTAACATATTGTCGTGGATTTTATGTGTCGTTATTTATCAGCTATTAACAGCCTTTTTTCCATCATATGTGACTTCTCGTAATCTGTGTGATTGGAAGATAGTTTTTATTTCCATTGATAAGCAGTTTGACGTATTTCGTGCTCACCACCTAAGTAAATATGTAGTTGGCGTAATATGGTTATTGTAAACAATACAAAGTCAAACAAGTCAAATCACCATTTTTCTAGTCAAAAATAAATTACAGATTGAGTTTTCATGAAAATAAGCCGTAAAAAGCATTATATATGCTTCACCTCCTTGATTATCGTGACGGCAAACATAGATGTCCGTAGTCGTTTATAAAATGTAATTAGAAAGAAGTAATCGTTAAACTAATTATGAATATTATATAAATTTTTGTATTTAGCCATAAAATGTTATTTGGACTATAGGTAGCATTGTTTTGTACTGAAGTGACATATTATTGTGTAACGTATCAGAGAAAAATTATGTGAGTAACAATTGACGTTGATAGTCCTTTTTACCGGCTTCTGAACGTACACAGGAATTGGGCCAGTGATTATCTTATTGACCTCGTAGCGTGACTATAGATCCAAACAGACAACTGCTTAAAACCAGTCAGAAACGGCATTCTATGAGATATTTTTCATGCTTGGACTCTGTTTACAAAGATAATCACTTCCTTTATTTTGTGCATATATGAGGTCGACTCTGAGTATGTTAGTGCTATTCATTTTTTCGGTCAAATAAGATCTTCGAGTCATTCAGAGTAAACTTGATTCACTATGGAAAGATGTTCAAAGTGTGATATCAGTGCCTGTCGATGGCATAAGAGGTGTATTTAACACGGTGAATATTTACAATATTTGCTTTTTGTATTGTGTTTATTAATCATTGGAGATATTGGCTGATAGAAATTTCCTTATTTATATTACACTGTTTCTAGCCTGTACTTCGCATATACTCTGTACCTCAAGATGCTTCTGATTCAGATGAAAGCGAAGATGGTATAAGTGAAGAAGAAGCAGTTATCGTTGAACAACAAAACTCTGAACCAAGTAAGACGGAAGTAAATAACATGTCAGGACATAGTCAAGACGGTATAGAGGGTCAGTTTAAAAATACTGAATCTGTCACTCAGTTAAGGACGACTGAGCCTACTGAATCGTAACGCATATGTTTGACAAGTATATCCGAAATAATTATTTATTTATAATTGCGCTTAAAATTTTATTCCATTACCGAACATGTTATTTTCAATTTGGTGTTTTATTATATATATAAGCATTACGCGTAAATTTCTGTTACTTAGTTGCGATAATCCATGAACTGCTCAGAATGGTTTCTTTTTATTTTAATGTACAACTTTCTATTCAAACCGAGCGGACCATATTCTCTCAATTTGTGCGACGGTCTTTCCTATTCGTCATTTGTGCCCACTTGAACCAAGCAGTCACAAATCAGAATACGTTGTTACTGACTGACTGACTGATACGATTTAAGACTAAATAAACACTAAAACGATATAGTTGATTTTAACTGATTGATTTAGTGTCCATGTTTTCACAACAATAGTTAACATATGTAGTGCTAGTTTACAAGCAAGATCATATCGTTATAACATTTTTATATTTATATTATATTATATTATTATTAGCTTTATTCAATATTATAATTTTGGTACAATATAGAATTCTCAGCTCAAAGTATTTCAACAAGTTTCCGTTTCTATCTTCTTGGTCGGTCCTGGCGATAAATATTGAGGAAACGCCAGTTAGATGTTAGCACTTCAGTGAATGAACAACTGAATAATGTGCATTCTTTTCGTTGTACATTGCCAGCAACCATATTGTCTCTTATTGAGTTTTCTGTAACTTTGACAACGAAAGGTTGTACACTTTTCAGAAACGCAGCAGAATAGGTTATGCGATTAATAAACATAATGATATATTAAAACAAACAACAATAGATAACTTGTTGAAATATCTAGATGGCAGGAACAGGTAGCACAGATGCTCAAGCAGGCCGCCCTAGTTGTTATTGCATTAAGCTAATTAATTAAGTTGACATTATACAACAAACAAAGTAAAGACGCTTTATAGATGCTGTGTTGTGACTTAAAACTAGTAGTCAATGAATTATTCGAATGAATGCTCTACATATTTATAATGTGTAAGATAACGGTACACGCATTAATTATTTGAGACTGCTGTCTTACGGGTAGTAACACAAGAAGTAAAGGTACTCCAAGTAATATCGCTACTGTCATACCTGGACTTTAGTCAGATACTCAGTTGGGGACCTTGTCACATTCCTGAACGTCGGTACGGAGGACATGATACCTAGAGGATGGCTTTGCAAGCAACATATCAGGACCATCAAATGTTTAGTCTTGAATAAACATGTAGACAAAGCCATGAATTTAGGATGGTTAGATTATCTAATTACCAGCTCGTAGTTGATGTGTGCGATCAAGCGCTAATAGTGGGTTTGAAGTGAGGCACAGAACACCTGTTGAGTCAACTAGGAATAATCCTTTGGGTTAATAACCAAATGAAATTTACGGACCTCAGGGTCTGTTCTCAAGGTGTGTGACGGTGAAGATCTTAACAACTTAGTACGAACATTTAATTGCTGCATCCGATTTGACTACCGATTAGTTGAATAACTGTGTGCCTGTGTTTATTTCGAACCATCATTTACTACTAGTCTAGTTTCTTCTATCAATAGCACGGTTACTCATCGACACGAAAGCCTATAGGAAGGATTTTGACCGTAGCTCTTTTATGGCATCGAGAAATAGATGCAACGCCGAAGTACGATTAAATAGATGTTCTGAGGCCAAGCTAGGAGCCAAATTACAAGCTGACTTCAAATGTCTCGACAGATTCATTATTAGGGAAAAGTCCACAAATCAGGGAATACGTGCACCCACAGAGATGTGAAACCAAACACGGGTTCAGGAAAGGCCTGTCCCGTGTGACAACCTCCGAAACTACCTAGAGGAAGAAGCCAAGACGAACTCATCTCTCCGCTTAATACAAGGAAGACTTGACGCAAACATAACAGAATTGTTCCTGACACTGCTTGAAGTGTACTCACGCTCCCAACTTGAAGTCCACAATGTTGGCCCGATCCTCTTTCCAAAAGTTGTGAATCTCTTATACCAAGTACAGGAATGGGCCAAGAAGTGGGCGATAGAACTAAAACTGAAGTCTCACGAGAACAGACTCCAACACTTGAGATTATTCTCATTGAACCACAGGAGAGTAAGGTGATCTGACCATAGCATACAACATATTAACTACACTAAATCACTCCAAGACGAATGTATTAGCAGAACATCATCACGACGTTCCTCGAGGCAACCCTCGGAGAATTGCACATCAAAGAACGAACACTCAGGTGAGTTTCCACCTTTCCTCATCAGAAGTTGCTCCCATTCGGAATGTCGTAGCAGCCGGATTGCCCATAGCCACATCAGTGGATAGCGTCAAGAGACTTGACAAACACATACTCACCCATGGATTACGATCTGATTCCTAGATTATCTGTGTCTGATGTATGTCCGATAGTTTACCACTGTTATCATTACCGTGTATCAATAACCACTTCCTGTCTTTCTTGTTAACATCTCCATCTCCCCTCCTATCCTTTCAATTCCGTCTTCTTACACATTACCAATTTAGTAAATGAATTATTTGTTCCCGAAACAATCGTCTTCTGTTAGCACTCGAGTTATCACTTTATTATTTCACATTTCAACCAACAAACCTCCTATCTGGTAATATGATAGATAGCTGCTAGCATCCAGAAACCTACTGTCCTGAGACAAACACACTCAATGAACTTTGAAATATACAAATCCACAAATAGCTACCACACTGACTGGAATTAGTGTAGTCGAGTGGTTAGACTACCACTTATAGGACATTAGCAAATACCCGAAACATCAAGAAATGGGCGCAAAGAAATCAAATTGCCTATACAAGTTCGTGACTAAGATACTGGATATGAGAAGTTTGCCCAAACTGACCTCTAGATCATTCTTAATTCAGGGGTTTTTGGTTTGTAGCGTTAGTGCGGTATTTTCTTCTGACCTGTCTCATTGCGCGGTGAGTTTCGAGTTGTTTTGTAATAACTTAGTTATACAATATTATGTGATGTTAAATGACGACCAGCTACAGGTGTTAATAAACTAGGTAGTAGTAAATCGCGGCTTGCATTTTAACTCATGTTACGTCTGGTACCGGGTCAGACGTATGCAACCTTGTACCATGGTGCATGTAGATTAAAATAAGCCGTCTTATGTGTTTTGCTATCTGGCCTTGCCATTTTTATTAGCGATATTTCCCATAATCTGCAGTCTATTCTGACACGATAACCGTCATTGTGCGAGAAGCCAGTTAGTCTTACAGCTCAAACGTTTTTCCCTTTAGAAACGACTCATATCTCGATCGTAACACCTCTCTTGGTCTAGTCTGCTGACTGTTTGAATTCGCAGAACGCTATTTCGGATCGAAAGTCTCGCGGTTAATCGCGCCTGAGAAGTAATGAACATAAGGAATTTCGACTTTGTGGTTATCTTATTCACTATTAAGGCTAACAGTTACTGGACCCTGGAATCAACCTGTAATGTTCAAGTAGTGAGTCTGTTTAATGTTAACATACTTTATTGGTAAGCCTTTTAATGACATACATTGCCATAAACCCCTCACAAGTGACTCAACGATAGGCTCAAATAGACCACATCGCAGTCAGCTATCGTTGAAATGGTTCAATATAAGACTGTCTCGCATTCAGACAGTCACAGATAAACAGAAAGCGTAAGAAACCTGGCACAAGTGTTTTTCGGTTCAAGTAGTGACATTCACTACTGCTAGATATTGGTTTGTATTACAGATTTATTAAGATGCTGTCCGTAGTAAGAAGCTGTAACAAAAAAGCAGTTGGAAAAGAACTTGGTAAAAAATTCATTCACTTAGTGTGGGTTAATGTATCCAACTTTTAACCACTATTAACTTGAGGTTCGGAAGTACTGTTTAGCTGTCCAACACATTAGGTGCGTTAGGGTTTGAATCTATGACCGTTTGAATGAAAATCGAGCGCTTTGATCACAAACCCAACATTCAGGAAATAAAGGGCCTATAATAACAGTGTACCCCAAACTTAGCTAATGAGTGATTAGGTCTTCGGCAATGTGATCGGTTGGAGAAAGGAACCTTAAAGGCTCTAACTATGGACACCTTCAGCGACCCGTGAGTTTATTTGACTTATAAGTTCTACACGTTAAATGATCTATTTCATAACTTGTCGTATCATGTAAGTATTCCATGTAAAATAACTCTTAAATCTTCTATATCTCTAACATTCGTCGTTAGCTCTTTGGTAACTTAATAATTCCCAGTTCCACTGAATGTCCTTCCTGTTTTGATCCTGTAAGTACGTAAAAACGCAGGGCTTCTCATCTTTGGGGTCCTGCCAGAAATTATTTTTGGAAATTACTATGAATTATAATTGTCTTGGTCCCCAAATGCCTTGGTACGACCCAAGGTGGAGACAGTCCGCTCTCTCACTCGGAATGCTCTCATATAGCCGTTGTCAGGAAAATTCTAATCACTGCCTCCTCGTGGCGGGAGTATTTGTGAAATTGAAAGAACGAAAGACGTATTTCTGAGTACTGATTCCAAGCTAATGGTGCACATGGGCTCTAGGATCCTGAGGGAACAAATGGTGTATGAACTTATTGTAGGTCGCCAGCTACCATGAGATGAATCTAACGTTGCCCCACTGTCTTGTGGATCAGACCTCTGTCAAACGCTCGGGGGTGTGGCTATTTGAGGAAAACAATCGCCTCGGTTTGGTTACGTAGATAGTATCCCCGAACATACAAATTCAGTGACCTGTAGTGCAAATCTATTCCGGTTCCCCTTTTACCAATGCTTGTTTGCTTAAACAAATAAAATAAATGTACACTACATCCTTTAATGCTTAATAGTTTTAACTAAATGTTATGTGTATTTTCCCAGTTTCATCACTACAAAAATGGTCACTCTAATTTAGGTTCCTAGCGCTCTTTTCATACTCAGGTGAACTTTTAATTAGATTAGCCTGAATGTATAACATTAGTGAGACTTGTTTTCGAGCGTACGAATTTTATTTGTAGAGGATATAAATTTTGGTACAAAGAGGTCTAGAAAGTGCGCCACATAGACGGGAATCATTATACTGTAAACACATGTTAAGGAAGTCTTACAATAGATAAATAAGTAAGAATGGTATTTATTGTAACAAAGTAGAGTCTTCTTAAAAACAACGAAAAGAAATCTCCACCAGTTAAGAAATTTATCCTTTTTTCATGGAGAATGTATTAGTATGCTACAGCAAGAATGCTACTAGCTTCTATTATGAGTTATTTCTGGCTAAGTTTCAAGCCACTAAGTTGGTGGAGTTTTGTTATCTGAGCCGAATGGTTTGGTTGTGAAACTTTCATCGTTCTTCTAAATACCAGCATAAAATTCAGATAGAAGTGAAATATTCGAATTTCTCCATATATGACTAGCAGCTTTTCCTGTCAATCTCGATCTTAATTGGTTATTGTTGACCAACAATAATCATTTTGTTCATTAGAACAATGAAGGCTTGACTACCAGACCATGCAGCTCAGGTAACAAAGCTCCAACAAAATCATTCACCTGAGCTAGGAATCTTCACCATTTCAGGGCCACTGATTTCTGTGATTAGGATACCACAAAGACTCGTTGGGGAACTAAAAGCTAGACGTTCAGAACAGCTATATTTGAAATCTATCATTATTTAAACACAAACACCGGTATAAGGAGGCACCAAATACATATGCGCCACATAAATCATTCGATTTATGGGAGTGTTGGGATACTTTCCGGTTGCTGAAACCGAAGCAGATCGTCTTCTTAGGCAAAGTGTTCGTACGTTAAAAGCTCCTACGTGTAGTTTAGAGCGTGGTTTCAGGAGACCAGGAATGGCGTTCCACGTACTCGAATCGTTTGCCCTAGCGGTGCGAGGTGATAAAGAGACGTGAGGAGGGTTAGTGGGGAGGATAAGAGAGGTATTAGGAGGTGTAGGAAGGATTTGAATGTGACCACCTTGGTCTCTTGTGCTGTTACGGGTATGAGGGCTGATGTCACTTCCCGGCTGCCCACACCGTGGAAGGGTATTTCTTGAGGAACCTGAAAAGGAAATTGGATTAGTGTTAGTCTTGACGACCTGGGAGCGTGACCGCAGAGCCCAAGGGACAACTGCTTGAGGCCGGTCGCGCACGGCCTTTTTGTGGAAGGTTTTTGATGTGTTAGCTCCGTTCTTCAAAGGGCCTTACCGCCGGAGACGGAAATCCGTGAGGTAAGGTGAGGTGTGCATTTTTAGGGTTGACCTTTTCTAACCTCACCCGTCCTTTTAGGAAAGCAGCATCGCTGTCATGCTGGTTGTCCGAGGGAAACACCTTACTGCTGTCACACCTCTACAGTCAGCAGTACGACTTCGCCCTCAGACCTTGAGTTGCTGCTTTTAGTCTTACCGTTCACCAATCGACCTGCCTGGCATGGTAGAACCTGCAGGAACATATGTTCCAGCCAATATAGCTCGGTTGGGTCATCACGATAGGCAAGCCCGACCACCGCGTCAAGGTAGCAGCTTCGATCGGGGGCCAAACCACCAACCTTCGACCTAAAGGTCTGATCCACAAGACAGTGGAGCAACGTCAGAAGATGCAGTCCCATGGTAGCCGGTGACCAACGATTGGTTCATACACCATTTATTCCCTCAGGCTCGTGGAGCCCATGTACACCATTGGTTTGGAATCAGGGTTTTCCAACTCCCCTAGTTGGATCCTCATTATCCATCAACCCGGTTAAAGCGCCGGACATTCACTTTACGTCCTCTCAATTTCGTAAACAACACTGATGCCATGAGATGGCAGTGAGTAGGACTTCCCTGGTAGTGGTTGTATGTGAGAACATTTCATGAGGGTGAACTGACTCTTCCCATCTTCGGCCGTACCAGGGCAACGATAGTCCTGCAATTTTTATGATGATCTACCTAATTTTATGTGTAAAATTCATGCTCAGCATTATATTTTGATAGAAAAAATGAACGCAACTAAATTTACTCCATACATAAAAGTGATTGAAGAGATACGGGTCATATTAGATATAGTGACCGGTTATTATTGTTTTCGACAAGTCTAATTTTAGCGTCGAAGTGGTTATCAGTATCATGAGATGTCGTTTTGGTGGGTCCGTTTGCTTCGACTTCACATTTCGAATGATAATGATATGTATTGAGCATCTGTACGATTGTAAAAAAGCATTCGAAAGAATCTTGTCTGTTATTGAACTAACTGTATGTTGTAGTAGCTTCATCTGCATAACTTAAATTTTATCTAGCTTTGTTTTCCTTTGTTTTGCAGCACAATGCTCGCCACTGCAACATGGTTGTGTCGTAGCCATCATGTCTCGAAACTGGCTAACCAACTACACCGCTCAACACCTTTCGTTAAACCGTCTATATCAAATCATTCTGTTCGATTGTTTCGCACATTTCCAGTAGTTAATAGTTCTATACGTAGGCGTGTGGGGCGTATCAATCTAAAATCAGGAGCTACGGAGTTTGAACATTCCCTCAGTAAGTTATACAACTAACTAGCATCTGAATCTATAAGCCTTCACGCAGGTACCTTTTGTCTACTTTATGTAACCTAATCTAACCACTGAGTGTCAAGTGAAATACGCTCTCTATGTTACGGCCATTTTCATTCGATATTTCCTAAGTGATGTTTTCATGAATGATAATAGAGATCTAACATTTGTTTATGATGAAACTTAGTGGCGATAGCCTCTGTCCAACTAATGGAGAGCTCGTTTTGCTCATTTGCCTAGCAAATGCTTTGATAGATCAACCAAAAACTCGAGATTTTCAAACACATGACAACGGTTAGTTTTCTGTTTATTATTTCGGAGCGGTGGTTTTACTGAGTCGTCCTAATTTCAACCAGATCATAGATTCAAACTCCTTCACCTGTTTCTGTTTAGACAGCTGTGTATTTTCACTTTAATGTAGTGATGAGGGTTGCCTTTCGTGATGATTCAACCGAGCTATATTTCATGAAACACATGTTCCTTTAGGTTCTATCATGCCGGAACGTCGGTTAAAAAAAACGGAAAGACTAAAAACAGCAACTTAAGGTTTGAGAGCGAAGTGTTACTGCTGACTGTAGAGGGTTGCGACAGCAGTAACGTGTTTCCTTCGGACGGATAGCATCTTCAGTGATTCTGATTTCTCATAAAAAAGAAAAGGATTAAGAGAGGTTGAGCTCAAAATTGTCACACCTCGCATTATCTCACGGATTTCCGTCTCCAAAGGTAAGGCTTACTAGAGTATGGCGCTAACACCAAATACTTACAACATGAAGGGTGTGTCTTCAACCACGCTCTCAGTTCACTGAGACCATCAGTAATCCAGCTTCCTTTTCGGATAACGCCAGACAACTTTTCATACTTATCAAGGAAGCAGGCCTTAAGAGTTCGGGAATTGGTAAAACGATCTTAGCAAAAGACGGGGCTATCATTCACACTCAATCTAGGAGATTGAACTGATGGACACAACACTAGGGAACAGTTCAGTTGGTCTTCAGCTACACTTTAGTTACCCACTCTCTACAATCAACTTGAATTCTGAATTGATGTCTGACCAAATCACTCTTCAGCAGGTTCTGGAACATAGACATACTTTTCTACATCTAACTACAGTTGTATTCATTGACCAGTCATTATTAGACTCCATTGATCCACAAGTTTTATGGCAATGTATGTCATTAAAAGGCTTACCAATAAAGTATGTTAACATTAAACAGACTCACTGCTTGAACATTACAGGTTGATTCCGAGCTTGTGGAGAACTGTTATCGGAACTGGTTAAAGTAGTGTTTGTCAGGGCTATCTGCTTTTTCCATTTTTATGGAACTTTGTCATAGACGCGCTTTTAAAGATAATACATCGTCTGACTTTTCGAGGGTCGACCTTCCACCAGGAGATATATTTGTTGATATAGTTCTGTCTGATAAAGGCGAGATATCCTTCTGCCGACTGAAGAACGAGTTTACTGTGCAGCAGTTCGCCCAGTTCTACTTTGTGAGTAACATGCCCACTAATAATAAAAGATATTCGTGGGTTACTAGTATTCAGTTATAGATGTCTTTGAAGCATTGCTTGTATATTTTGGGACCACGGAGTAAGAAATACCTGGGTCAGGAACAGGGTGCTAGTGTGGTATATTCTCCTTATGTTGACAGATATAAGTAATATGTAACGCCAATCAGAATTGGAATAGCTCTCGAATGAGGATTAAGAAGAGTGAACTGAAGACATTCGGAAGTCAAACAGAAAGGGATCGGAATAAAAACAGAATTGGATGAATCATAAAGGATGTGAAGGACAGCTGGTGGAAGATATGTAAACGAGGTATTTAATGTATGAAAGGACGGATGGTGGCTAGCAGTGGAGTTCAGGATGCACTTTTCGTCCTAATTGGGCTCGAAACCAGTTTTTCCATTTTTAGTTCTAACCAAGTTATTAATGTTGATGACAAGACTCGCAAATTTTGGATAGGTCCCATCTTATCATTAATGTGAGATCTATCGATTAGTTTTCATGCAAAATAAGCATTCCGATAATCTACTATCTAATTGCAAGTTAGCACGAATAAACCATTGAGGATTTACTGATTTTCAGGGATCCGTTTGCTATAATTATATGAAGTAAGGGAGACTATGATATTTAATTATCGTGTTTCATCATTCCTCTCCATTGGGTTGCTTCCATTCAATTTCATTACCATACAAGTAATGTAGACATAATATAGTTTTATATTTAAGCACTCTGTAGGTCGTTTATCGATTGGTAAAGTTGTTCTGTGGTTCCAGATACACTGTAAGCAAGTTCTTCTAGCGGCTCAGAAGGATGAATATGTATGTTAACACCTACAGACCTATCTCATTTTTCTTCATAGGGCAATGAAACTCAGTCTAGCTTAGGATATCATGAGGTATAACTCAGGAATCATAACTACAATTACACAGTAATTACGAATATCAAGTGTTACATTCAGTACGCAAACTTGTAACTCAAAAGCGTAGACGAGCATTGACTGTGTTTGTATGACACCATGAAAACGGTCGGGTGCATCTCTTACGGCTTTGCGAAACGTCCCGCCTCATAGGCACCAGTTTTCTATAATCTCCTTACAACTGTTTGAAGCATGTCGTTTTGTTCCGATAGACTGCGAGTTTAGTGTTAGGGGCAGATTCAAAATTAAGGAAAATATGCAAAGCTTTCGTAATAATTGAAAAACCTGGTAGTTGGAGCTTGCTTACGAGTTGAAGACAGCAGTTATGTCTGATAATTGCTGGGAGCTGATTTAACTAATTCTAGCCAGTGGCGTGTTAGTTGGGTGGGGTGACACGAACCAGAATAAAAGACAGTGACGGTCCTACCGTAGTTCTTTTTAAATTCTTCATAAAAGTAAGGAATATTCTTAGAACTGATTCATCTGTCGTTCGGTTATTTTCTTCTGGTTCGTTAATTTATTTTGATTATGTTTCATTTCACCCATCTCTCCATAATATAATGGTCTTATTGTGTGACGCATAATTTATTTTGGTGTCCATTGGTACCGATATTTCTGCGGTTTAAGTTAATAAGCAGATTGGTTTTACGTCTGCGCGGTACGATTTATGATGCTGTCATCATTCCATTCATATAACCTTTGCGTGTTCCTCTGTAGTTACGGCTGTAATTTTACCCCAGTAAAAATTTAAATAAAGTTTGGTATTCTAACACTTTCAGCATTTTGTTGGAGCAGCACGATATGTGTGTATGTACACTGGTATATGTCACAATGTCTCAACCCGAAGTTCAAGTTTGCCCTTACCAACATTTTTTACCCCTACGCATGTCTAACATTTTAGAATGTCAACCTGTATATCTTTTCCTCTATGTTCTTCGAATTTACTGTTTACCACTAGTATGACAGTATCCTCAGTCAATTTTTATAGCAGATCATTTCAAATTAACTTTAATTCATATACTGCCAGGAATGATAGACCATGTAGCTAATGCCAGGTGAATTATTAATGATCACAGTTTGGAGAAAAAGCGAATATTATTATTATTACTTTTCAGAAAATAACAGCTAGTAGCTTTCTTCTTGAAACTGTTCATTTTATTAGACAAAACGGGATGAAAAAATTTTTATATAAAAATTGTAAATGTTGTTCGTCATTTCCTTGTATATTGTTGTAAACTTCAAGTTCGTGGTTTTTATTTTTTCAGATTTCAGTAAAACTCGAGCTTTAGTGGGTGCTGCAGCTGCAATTAGTATTGGTGGTCTTTGTCTTTATGGTTTAGCTGGCAAGGATAGTTCACTCTCAGCTTTTGATCGTTCAGTTGCTTGGCCGGATTACGTTAAACAGCGTATTCGAACGACGTATGGCTATTTACTAGCCAGTGCTACAATTGCAGCTGGTTCAACTATCGCATTGTTTCAGTCTCCTACTATGTGTCGTTTGATGCTAAGTGGTGGGTGGCTTGCTCCTATTGGAATGGCAGTATTGAGTATAGCTACAGGAGTTATTTGTCAGGTAATCATCTTTTTGATAAGTTTGTTGAATAGCCTACCATGGTTTGTATCCACTAAATGATTTACTGACTCCAAACATACACAATCTAATCCATTATCATCTATCCATTGACAGAGTAAGTACTTCTACAATGCTTCTAAGGTTGAAGTGAAACTTCTGTTCAATAGTTTTAGTATATGGACATCGGTATATTTAGCTACAGACTGTTTGTTCGTGTTACGTTGAAAAGTGTAATCCTTGGTTAGAGTTCACCAGAAAATCGTAATATATAAGTGGTATTCTTGAGTGATAAGGCACGAAATAGTCGTTAGTTCAAATACATTCATTCATCATCTTCATGTAAACTTTAAGCTTAGTATCATTCCATACTCATATTTGGTTTGCTACTACCGACGGTATTGTTGTTTTTATTCCTCGTCTTGTTCGTTTTCTCTTATTACCAGTAATTTCACTCTGTTACAAACAGTTACTGAGTTGTGTTTGATTTCACACGTTAAGGTTGCAATAAAGCAAAGACTCAAGCTCTTCCAGATTGTCTAGTGAACTAATAGTTTAGTGTTTTGGTTTGTTATAGATAAAATTACTTGTCTTAAGTATCACTAGTGTTTAAGTTCAAGCTTCCTCATACCTTAAAACATCCGTTTGACACTGCAATTCTAGTCGTACATACTGTTACACCAAGTACTATAACGAACTGAACGCTTGATGAGTCAGTGGTTTAGTCCTCTAATATACTACATGATTTCAAAACCCTCTTTGATTTAAATTACTTCACAATGATATTTAACCACTTGGACGAGAGTAAGTGAAGTGAACAAATCTGCTTATGATGATGCAATCGGCGTCTAATTATATGACCTATTAGTTTACATAGTGTTCATAATAACGAAATTCCAACAGACCCTTATATTTAACTATATGCAGTTCGGGAAAATGTGGTGCTCGGGTTGTCTAGTCCTCAATTTTACTTCACTTTGTCATAAGCGATTTTAGGAGTGACACATCATCCGATAGATGAACTGTTTTATAACAAGCACCACTACTGTTGGTTTAAACAGCATTGGGATGAAGGGTCGTTTCACTATTAAGAAGTTTGTAGTAATTTTTATTATGGTCAGAATGGAGGTTTTATGGAGATTGTAGTAATTTTAATAGTTGAATTCATGAGTCAATGTAAGCTAGACCATCACTGATAACCTGGAAGCACTAGACGGTCGTTTCATCCTAGTTCGGGACCCCTCAGCAGCGCGCACTCACGATTCCGCACGTGGAACTCAAACTCAGAACCTTCGGTCTCGCTCGCGAACGCTTAGAATCGAGATCACTGAGCTGGCATCCAACGGTGTTAATTTCTAACTTCAATCAATCCATGATCTTGTGCAACCATTCATCCGTTGTCTGGGGTAGATATCTGTCTCTACCCGACACGGATTGGACTCCACTGGAGCCTTGGCAAAGATTACATGCTGATTTCACTGATGCAATACAAGGCGGGAATTTCTTAGTTGTTGTGGATGCTTTTGCGAAGTGGACGGAAGTATACGGTATGCCGAACATGACGTCAGAGGATACAATAAGATTTTCAAGATTGCTTGCTTGTTTCGGGGTTCTGTTGGTCTTATTAATTGACAGTGGCACTCAGTTCATGTCGTCCGCTCTCAAACAGTTCTGCAGTAAAAATGGCATTGCGCATCTACGGTCTTCTCCGTACCATCCCCAGTTAAATGGCTAAGATTCATGAGTACGATAAAACGGGCTTTGACTAAAGGGGTAGATGAGATATTCCAGCACAAGTGATCTGTTTCAAGGTGATTAAAAATGTGAACCAGATATTATTAATCGTTGGGTTGGAAAAGTACTGTACTTAGTTCGAAAAGTGTCGGGTCTTGTATAAGACATGCCAATCAAATTCAGAGGGATGGTAGGACCAAGATTACATAACGCCAGTTCCTTTTCAAATGCTTGTGAATTCACTTCAAAAGATGCCCTAAGGAAGACGAAAGCAGATGATATAAAAGACGAAAGGGCAAAAAAGCACAACCTTCAAGAGAAATGCAGTGACCAAGTTTCAATCGGACCCGAGCAGAAAGTTTTACACAAGAGACTTCAGAGAGAACAGGTGTGGTGGCAACTCCCGGTGAACTCAAAGAAGCCCTGAACGAGCCGAAGACATTCCATGTAATCATCATTTAGAAGGACATTCTAGAATCTCGACGTGTATCTACCAGATTGGACAAATGCTAAAAACCACTGCACGCAGATTGGATGACTAATGATGATTCCGTTTTTGCCAAAAAATACGAATGCCCGAGAGTTTTGTACCATATTGGACACTGGAATAACATTCCTTCTCACTCGTTTTCTGTCTTCTCATTTGCGACTTGGAAGGTTCAAGTTGTAGATATAACACTGCTAAAGAAAGGTTCTTGGACAAACTGTATGCCTCTCGACTAATGAATGTAAAAGAAGTGCGCTTCATTCTGATCATTCTTAATATCATTTAGTCACACACTATATTCGGAGTCGTTCCCTCGGACAATTTTTCAATTGGATTGTCATTTAAGAACGGTCTTCATCATGGAAAAATCATCACTTTATTTATGCATCACATAAATAGGTTTTTAAACCAATATGTAAGAGACGATTTCGTAATTTGCCTCTGGAACCGGTAATATGGATTTTCCTATACAAATTAAAAATCGATGAGGTAACTATTTAGTCTTGGGTGTACATAGCTTTTATTCCTTTTGCATCAAAGTGCGAACGCGAAAGACGGTGCATACTAAAAATGCTTTTACAACAACAACGACCACTAATTCAACTATTCTGGGATTCGTCTTTAAATTATTTAATCTTGTGCTAATGTGGTATGGCGACTTGAAGCGTCGCATAATATGATGATCATATCTCATGTAGTGTTGATTTTTTGTTTGATGGTGGTGAATAACACGTATTTTGTCTATGCTAATAGCCCATAATATTTCATAGGATTCGATCAGATTGGGAGTTCAGTTAGTTTTCTTGGTATCTTCTAAACTATAGAATCCGTGTCTTAATCTGTAGTATATGTGATTTTCTCCATTTCTAACATCATTTGGTGTGTCTGAGTTAGTGGATCTAGTAACTTAGGTGTTGCCTTTTATTCGAATAATTTTACTTAAGTCAATTTTTGGTGTCGGGATGAATTCCCCGGCTGGCTTCTGTATGAAACCCCAGTTAACCATTGTGTATGTTTGAGATTCATTTCGATGCTTATGAAAACATTTAATCGTTTTCACGTACAACATAGTTTATATTTACTTGAGCTAATTAATTTACTATCATTGGTCTAAATCTCCATCGTTTGGTTGATAGTAAGTGCACCAGTCTCTTTTGATCAAAATTTCATAAATCAACTAGAATCAATTAACTTTTGGACCTTTCATTTCATTGAATGCTTTTAAAAAAGTGTTTCATGCTTTTTATTTGAAAGGTTTTCCAATACAATATTTTTAAATGTTTTTATCTGAATTCACTTGTATGTTCTTTTTCTAGTCACTTACATATCCACAATCGGGTCTAAGTGTTAAGCATTTAGCATGGGTTGCATATTCTGTGAGTTTAGGCGGTATCCTGATGCCTATATGCTTAGTTGGCGGACCCATTCTTATTCAGGCTGCTTTGTATACTGGAGGTATAGTGGGTTCCTTGTCACTGGTTGCAGTGACAGCACCATCAGACCGTTTCATCAACTGGGGTGGTCCTTTGGCGATTGGTTTAGGAGTTGTTTTTGTGTCATCTGTCGGTAGGTTAATTATCACTATAGAATTCTGATTCATGTTTTTTATATTGATTAGTAACGTATTTTCCATAAATACACCGGTTGCAATTAGTCTATGATCATTTTTTAACCAAATACCCCTTCCAGGCATAAGGTTGCTGAAGCCTATTGGCTTTTTTGAAGATGCTCCTTGAAACACGGCACAACTATCAGGGCACAATAGCTGTTTGAGTTTTCCTTGGTCATACTTTCCCAGTTATTGCCGAGCATTATTTGTGTATCACGTAACAATGGTTTATTATACCTTTATTTTGTCTGCCAAATTTTTGTGCAACCCGTGTATAGTCATTTATGTAGGCTGATGGCTTTTTGACCGTTCGGTTGTGTTGGTAGTGTGGTTATTGACTTAGTGATTTTTATGTTTTTTATGTTTGTTGTTATGGGTTGATAAGGTTGTAGGAGACATGATCAAATGTGACTATTTAGCCATCCCATTGTTTTGTATGTTTTTGAGTAGTCTGCCATCGGGTACTTTTGTACTTCTGTATCTGTGAAAGTCTAAGTTGTTGAGTGGTTGTTCCTTAAGTGTTTGTTCATACCTTTTATTGTTGTGTACATTTGCAACAGTTTGTTTGTGCATACGTATATTTGCGTTCCTTGGCAAATTTTCTCCGGTTTGTACTCTCCGTCATTATTTAGTTTTATCTTAGTTGGGTGCTCTGCCCAAGTCGTTGGTAATTCTTTGAGCACATTTAAGTAGGGTTTTATTTGTCTTAGTCAACATTTTGCGAGGTGTTTTTACTTGTTATGGTGCTTTCGATAATTATGATCTTCAATTTGTCAGGTCTTTCGGGGTCTGTGTACCATATGTTTAGTTGGTTCTCCTGGACTTTTGTGGTCATGTTTGAGAGACTAATGTTACCTTATAGTTCCTCCACTGTTAGATCTCTACGGTTGTTTATTCCGAGGATCAATATTTGCTGTATTAAAGACAACGAGTCTCACCCAATCCTTCTTTCTTAATACTATAGTCTCTAGACCATAGATTAAGGTCGGAATTATAGTGGATTCTATCAGCTTCCTTTTAGTTAGTTTGAATAATGTCTGATTTTAAGAGTAGTTGGATTTCTATTTTTGCGTAACGAGCTTTAGTAACCTTTTGGTCAACTGCATGTTCAGGCAGTCCGTCTAGTTGGATTATGGATTACAGATGGTTAAAGGACGTTACTTTAATAACTGTGTCGTCAAAACAAGTTGGCTGGTTGTTGTATTGTTTATTTACGGTCATCGTCTTTGTCTTGTCGGTTGAGATTGTCATTCCAAAGGCTTCTGGAGTTTGGTCAGTGTTTGAGGGGCATGTTACTTATGATGAGTCGTGGGCATATTTATTCACCCAAAGAATTTGCCAAAAATGTCCAGTAAGAATATTTCCCGGTAATTTTTCGAGTTTGTGTTCATATCTTTATGTTCGTAAATGCTGATAATGTCTACCATCAATCCAGAGGCATAGGGTTTCGTTTGTATTAGTCCAGAATTGGTTCATTACTCCTAAGATAATATTTTGTTGGTTTCTTTACTCTATATGTTGCCATTTTGTTTGTGATGTTCCCAAAGGCTCTATCATTTTTCAATCATTTAATGGTTTCCTCTAGCTCATATAGGCTGATGGGGCTATCGTTTTGATGGTTTGTTTCCATGTTTGTTTTGGTCAATTGTATCATGGATTTGTAGCTGAATATTTATTGATAGTGGTCTATCAGTGCTTGTTTACTGATTTGTGTAGTCGGTTCTGTGTCGCATGAAGTTTCGTTGTTTGTTATCGCGAATATAGCGCTTAGACATTTGTGTGTTTAGCCGGTGTTCATTTTGTGTGAAGATTTGGTCTATATTTGTTAGTTTTGTTTATATGTTGTCTTTAAGTTGTTTGTTGACGTCGTTTCTCTATCAGGTGGAGTTGTTTCGTTTTAGCTCTGTTGGTTCGTCAAGCCTCTTTTTTCTTAGTTTGTGTTTTCCTTCGGTTTCCTCTATCCTGGTGGGTTAGTATACTTTTCCATTTATGTTTAGTTGATGTTACCTTAGCTTGTGTGGAAACGGAAGTTGCAATGTTCAGCATGGTTTGCTCAGTTTGTTTGAGATTAAATTTCTCCTCCTGGACGTCTTTTAGTTTTTTCATATTGTGTTGATTTATATATGCATATAGATGTGATCGTTGTTCATCGCTTCTGGTGGTGTTTATGGTGTTTTTTACTCCCTTTCTTGTTCGTTCTATCAACAACCCTTACTAAGTGCCGGTCAGAGTTTGCATCAGCTGATAGACTCGTATGGGCATCAAATATCTGAAAGTTAATTTGACCTAACCAAGTAAAATTTATGGCGCTAGTATTTCCTCTTTGAAATCTTGGTAAAAGCATCATGCATTCTTTTTGATCTAAACCAAACCATTTTGACAAAGAATACTCGAACAATCAACATAAATATCGTCAGACATTTAAACACTAGGCGCCCAAAAATCAATAACTTGATGAGAGAAAGACCCTAAAATGTAGTTATTTGACATTTTTTTAGTGATTCTAATTGTTCAAAATCAAACCTTGAAATGATTTATACCAATGAATAATACTAATCTATTAATGTCATGAAAAGGACTTGAATGAATAATTTCTAGCGTCTTAACGCATCATTGGGTACGAAAAACTAGACTTCTTGATCAGTAAATGTGTAATTAACAATGTGGTTAAAATGGGTTTTCAGTTAACTTTTTAAGTGACGGCATGTTCACAGCATTTGAAATCTATTTTTTCACATTATTGCAACAGCTTTAATGTTAACCAAAAGTACAATTATTATCGTTGATTTAAGTTCTAAGCAAACATAATCTAACCTCATGTTTTCTTCTATAAGGTTCCATGTTTCTATCTCCTGTAAGTCGTTTGGGATCTGGTTTAGCGTCTATCAGTCTTTACGGTGGCCTTCTTCTGTTTTCTGGATTCCTACTTTACGATACACAACATGTGATAAGACGGGCAGAATCTCATCCCCCTCCGAATTTCTATTTACCAACTAACAAAGGATTTCAGAATCCAGAAGTATTAAAACCATTTGACCCGATCAACAAGTTAGTGATTTTCTATGCAATATTATCATTAAACCGTGAACTGTTCCTATTTTTGAGGGATGCATTGAGATCGAAAGTAACGGTTGTATGTATTTAAAAAATGCAATTACAGTAACTGGTAAACATGACACTCCGTACTCTCAAATGCCATTAGAATGGATACCGGTTACTGAATATCGGTAAGTAGGATAACTTAATATACGAAAGAGGATTGGAAAAGGAGAGAATAAAGTTATTTTTTTAAAAAAGAAAACATATAAAAAAGAATATTCATTTCAGTAAATTCTCTTCCAGTTCTGTAGTCCTATATATAAGTTCATAATCCAAAAGTGGCCAGGTTTAAGGCAAACATTGTTTTGAAGTCGTACCACATTAATTTCGGATTGACATACAGAAAGTGCTGTTAAACTTAACAATGCATTTCACATATGAGTTGGTATGAAGGAAAATCTATTTTTACTCCCGTTTTACCATAATTAAGTATTAATTGTCATATTACATGCATTTTCTAACTTTCTCAATAAGCTTAAATTATAGGTATTAAATTTTTCAATGTTAACTTGCCTGTCATTTATATTATACAAAAATCCATTTTTGTGTTTTGTCCATCGAATTTATTGATGAAAAACTACTCAATATTTGACCTAAAAGTTTACTCTATTTTCACAAACCTTATTGATAGTTAGGAACTCATATTTCTTTGACTACATTGCTATGTTGGTGATTATTTTACTATGTTGAAATATTCGAAGTAGTTAATGGTGGATCTTGATTCTTTTCATTAATTCAGTTCCATTCGAATTTTATTGGATGCTGTGAACATATTTGTTCGCATAGCAGTAATGTTATCTGGTGGTGGCCAACGTAAGAAATGAAGTTTATTTACTATCTTATTCTCACCAAACAACGAACTACATTTCTATCTTTTATGACATTAAAATTTATTTGATTTATCAAGTGCTTGTGTTAATCATCAAATCGAATAAATGTCATTCGTGTTTTAGCGTGTAAGTTAGTGATTTCCATATCAGTTGCATCATGTTTGAAACGAATGAGACTTAGTAGTTTGAATTGAAAATACTTTAAAGTGAATAACTAAACTTTTTGCTCTACAGAACTGATGGACTAAGTAATGGGGTTAGCGATGTTTTCCTAAACGTGAAGAATAAACTATACATACATTGTAAACTTAGCAGCGCACGAAAGTATAACAGATGAGTTGATTTGACGTTCACTGATATGACATGACAGAGTAGTCGCAGAGTATCTAAGTCTCGAATATATAACTCAAAAAATTTCTCTTTAATACATACCCCTGGTCAGACTGTTGTGGTGGTCTGTCTTACTAACTTGACAGGCTGTGGTTCGGAGTTATCAGCGATGCCAAAATTAGAAACCCTTCATCTTGTACACCACATCAGAGGTAAGACTTCAATGTGGTTTCAGTAGTTGTAGTATCTTCTAAAATAGAAATATAGCATAGGCGGCAGTTATGAAGAAGGCTTAAGGCCAAAGCAGGTTAGTTGAAGAAGTTATGTTTAGCTATAGGAATTAGCGACCGGTGGTTTGTTCCCGGGATTGCACCAAATAAAGACCGGCAGGAATTGGATTTTCCTTCTTTGGATTGAGTGATTTTACCGTGAGGATTTTCTTGTTCATCTGAACAAAAGCAGCACAAACTTTATGAACAAGTGAGCTATTCGAATATCGCTACATACGGCTGACAGCCTATCCTGTCGAACTTTAGTGTTCGTCTTTATCCTGTCGTCCTATATATATTTATTTTGGCTGTCCAACCGTTTGGTCTGATTTTTGGTCCTATGTTTGTTCATGGTTTTTCAAAGTGATTGATAAATTTTGTCAATTTCGATGTGTTCATTGACTGACGATTGACTTGGTTATCAAGCCTCGAAAATTTCTGTGATCTAAGTGTCATCTATATCCGAAATTTGAAAATGACGTCTGTCGGATTTTTATCTGTGCATTGATGTGGTCGAAGACGTATCATGATGTTTGACAACCTATTGGTATTCATGTAGGCGAACATTTGATGTTTTAACACTCGATTATCACGTTATTTTCACATTACATCCAACCAACCTCCTGCCTGATAATGATAGCCGCTGGCATCCTACCACCCTTAGGCAAGATGCACTCACTCAAGTTACAAATCCACAAATAACTATCACACTGGTTGCAATTGGTGTAGTTCAGTGACTAGACTACCGTACCGTCTCGAAGGTTTCAAGAAATTGATATCCGATCAGTGCACTTAGAATTATAGGGAGTGTCTGTCTTTGAAGGTTAGGTTAATTCCACATGGTTCACGGTAGGTTTTGAAGTTAAGCTGGTTGGAAAATGGATAATAATCCCGACTGGGCACTCTAATTGAGTTACTCTCATTGTAACTCCACTTAAGGCGGGTAGTAAACCACCGAGGAAGTATGGTGATTACAGCCTGACATAAAGATACATAAATTATGAGGGTCAAGGTAATTTTCTGAAACAGGTTTGGGAGATGCGTATTTGCGAATCCCATTGCATGAAATCTAGTGAACTAACTACCATGAATACACCATTCTGGTTTTTCAGATACAAATCCCTACCATTCGGACTAAATGTTTCCCTTGCAGTACTCCAGGTTATAAATGAGATTATCACCGGCTCTGATGGTGTTCAGTCGTATCAGGATGATATCGTAGTTCATGCTGAAAATGTGAAGTCACATATGGAACATCTATTAAAACTACTTAGACGCTTATTTGGCTGTAAATTTACCCGTGTCAGTCTCAACTTATTTCTATCAAGTTCTTAAGCTATGCTGTAAGTGCTAAGTGTTTTAAATCTAATATGAGTCGTCTCGCTCCCCCAATTCAAGCACCGTCACTTAAGAATATCTCAGTATCCAGATTATGGATTGGTGCTCTACAGCTTCATTCCAGAATTATACCTGGCTTTACAAAAATATTGTCTACACTCTCCTACCTGGTTTACGGTAAATAGATTGTATTGAGTCGACGACGCGAGGATACAGTAAGGAACAGTTTTGAAATGGTGAGGCTCTCCTCTAACCGTTTTCACCATTGTTGTAAGGTGCAGTTCTAGAGTGAAACGGGGAACCTGTTATTTTTGTTTCGAGATGATTAAGCAAGACCATAAGGAGGCTTTGGCTGTGGTTAGATAATAAAAAAACTTCATGAGTACATGTTCGGCGCAAAATACTATATTTTAACCGATTGGGCAAAGTTTATTTACCCAACTAATAACTCGAAAAACTGTCCTACATGCCTAAATAAGCTAACGTATTATTAACCTACTTGTGATCTTTGGTTTGTATCCTGTGAGTCGTGACAATGTATTGTTTGTGACGGAGCAAATTAAGTAGCCATCCACTAGATTACCTGACTTTCTTAACTATCCTGGAACCCAGCAAACTGTATCCACAATTCCACCTCGCGGGATTCAAACCCAGGGCCAGTCAGTCTCGCGTGCGAACGCTTAACCTCTGATCCACTCAGGTGGCATACGACTGTGCTAATGGCTAATATCGACCAATCAACGAAGTTACGTCGCCGTCCACCTTTGTCATCTGAGTTCCTATCTCACAACAGACCCAGTTGGACTCCACTGGTCAAGTCTTCTCACTAGAACTCCGGGGAATGCTTCTTGAAGTCGGTATCCAGTGAGCATATGATGATTATAATTGAAGGCGGGTTTTATGGGTATTATAGCAATCTAATAGTTGAATTTGTGAGTCAATCGAAGCTAGACCACCATGAAAAACCTGGAAGCACTAGATGTGGCTCCATCAGTCCTCATTTAGTCATACAGACACGGTTGATTCGGATCTTGCACACCCACCGAAATCATGTAAGAAGGCAATGTTGTAAGGACAAAAGTTTGGAGTCAACAAGCTACTCATAATTTGCTATAGTGACTACTCCATGACACTCCGGTCCATCTGTAATACTAATGTCATTGTTGGACTGGCCAGCGTAGTTGTTCTTGTATTAGCTCAGATCTTGGATTGTCTTCATATTCTAGCATTACCTATTCACCAACTATCTGATTCAGCTTCGAAAGTCACTGGTTTTCCCCCCTTTTCTAAATTTGACTCATCTACTCATTAGTGACTTCAGCTACAAGTCTAGTGTAACTAAAGATATTGACTCTGATATTTGACTGACTGGCTTCAAATTTGTCTACTATGTCATTTATTACGTAACTGCTGGATTCCATAACATGGTTAACTTCAATAGTATCCGGGTCTCCAAACGGGTTCAAAGACAAGCTTTTTTTGTGAATGGATTGTATAATTGAAAAAAGTGAACTATCCGAGAGCTAATTTATAAAACGTATTGTCCAAATCCTGCCAAACACACCAGGTTGGTGAGAATTGTCAGTGGACTTATACACAGAGTATGTTTTTGAGGTAGCTAAAATTATTGTCAGAAGATTAGTTGGTTGAAGAAATAGAACTATTCTTAATAAAAGAGAGTGGCTACCAGTTCTACACATCGACACAAGGATTAAGGCGAATTCCAGACCATATTGATGGCTTTTAAAATAAATTGTGATCTATGCAATATTACTGTTTTGTGTAGCATACAAGAACATCCTACCGTCATTTAGTACGGAACATGAACTAATTTTGAGATCCTACGTGAATATTAGGGCTGGAATTCTTTTTACGATCATGGAAAATTGGCTAAATACTAGTTCAACGACGAAAGATGGAATTATAGAGGCAAGATTTTTGGGATAGTTTGGAATGGATAGATCATGATGTGACCTGATACTTCAGTGAGTTTGTTTTGACAGACTACAACACAGCCTCTAATAATGGACTTAAATTCAACTTTAGATCGCCGACGTGATTTATTCATTATGATTGTAGGGAACCTACTGCAGTTGGGTGGGAATGGTGCAACCTTCTAGTATACGTCTAAGTCACAGTCCTAGGTTAATATCTGACGTGGGTTATCCTTTCGTCGTATCGAAGTGTAACGGCTAGCTTGACGACCATACCACACAAACTACGTTATTAAAGAAATGCATCAGGAGTAGGTGCAAGGAACAGAGTGCAGCCAAAACTCTTGTTAGTCAAGTTCAATTACTTACATTGAAGAGCTGAAATAGTTTATCAGGCTCATTATTTGAATTAGCAAATAATTAATTCATTTAACATCGAATATGAATTAAGCAACAAAGATTTTGTTTCAGAACCGCAGGGTCTCAAGTCATATTGATTCACATCTAATAACTATTAACCTCAAGATAACTATCAAATTCACCTGAATTAGTGGAGCAGAACCGCTAAGTCAATCCTTATTGAACGAGACTGAAGACTTGAAACATCACCGTAACAACAAGGAACGGACCCAGATAAATTGATAAGTTAATATAAGATCATTACAAAAATATGGCGTGGTTGTTATAAATTTAGGAAATATCATTCGAAAGTTGTTTTGCAAAGCAGCATGGATAGCCAATGAAAGTTTGTGTGCTCTTAAAGATCAAAAGTTACTCATATGTCTGGCTTATATTGGCTTCAGCAAAGCTTTTAACAAAGTTCCACAATACCAGATGCTTTTTAAGGTAAGAAATATCGAGATTGACGGCAGTTTATTTGTGGGGATAACGGACTTCATGGTTGGACGTCAACAAATGTTAGGGATGAATCTAAATTTGCCTACCTTGGAAACTTCACTTAGCAGAGTGCCTTTAAGTGCAGTGTAATGGTAAATAAATCCACAAAAAAATAGTGCTGGAAGTCTTTGTCATTTGATGCTAACCTTGTCAGTTTTGGGGAACACATCTAGCTAGAGGCGGTCGGTCACGCATTTGCATCTGGTCATGAGTGGGTACGCCGTTCTACATGGCTCCTGCGACCGTTAGCCAGCTTAGAACAAACTCTTCCAGATATATCTGTAGTCCTTTAAATATGTCTTAGAACCTCTTCACTTCTGAGTTGACTGGTTGACATACTTCGATAATAAAGATGTAATGTGTGAAAATGTTGTCAAACTCCGAATACCAGTAGCATGTTAACAGTTTGGTGGTCATAGTTATTCTTTTTGAATGTCTATGACCTT